ACATTGTCCAGTGATTCGTACTACCAACATGCACCCGAAACTGATAGCTCAGCTTTGGGTTGAGTTGGACTTTAACCTAAAAAAAATATTTGGGTTGAAGTTTCACTTTGGTGCTGTCCAAGAAGCCAAGAAACTGTGCTAAAATAAAAACATAAAATAAACTATAATTAACAAATAAAGAAAAAATAAACAAAATAATAATAATATAAATACAGCTAATATAAAACCCCCTTTCCCGGGCAGATCGTCTAAGGTTGCTAAGAGCTGGGTACGGAGATGTGTAGGGGCTCTGGCCGGGGTCCTGCCCAGCTCCTGGCAACCAGTGAGGTTACCGTTTACCAGGAGCTGAGCAGTTCACTCTTGCCGGCATCCCACCCAGCTCCTGGTAACCAGTGACGTCAAAGGTTGCCAGGAACTGGGCAGGACGCCGGCCAGAGCTGAAGCCAAAAAAAATGAGATTCTTTCTTTATAATACATTTGTGAGATGCAGTTACATGTCTGTAGTGCTGGTGACTTCGTATGTCTTGATCTGGTATTGAGGCCATGAACTGAAACTATTCCATCCCTAAGGCCCCATTCACACTGAGTGACATTGAGCGACTTTTTCCTATTGGGCTGTATGCAATCAGGAGCAAAATCGCTCGAAAAAAGGGTATTGTAGGAGCTACAAACGATATTGAACGACGAGATGTGAACAGCTCCATTGAAATGGATTGGAGAAGCTACATAGAGCGATATCGCGTGGAAATATGAGCGATATCGCTGCAAAAATTGCTCGATAAATCGCTCAGTGTGAATGAGGCCTAACACCAACCCTGCTTTAAACCACTCACAAACTTTAAAAATAAATAAAACACAATGAAAGCCCTTTTTTTTTTTTTGTAGGGGGGGGGGGGGAAAGCCGTGAAGATGTTGTGGCGCATTATGATGTTTACATTTTTTAAATTTAGAACTTTATTAAACATTTCACAAAATGACATTTTATTAAGTTCTACAACCACATAGCTGTGTGATGAAAACAAGTCTATTGCATTGTCAGTGGGTTGGTGCTGCGCTGGAAAAGGTGGCCAGCACAGCCCCAACACATCTGGTGTGAATTGGCTGCTACATCTGCAGCTTTTATTAAAACAAAACCCAGGGGTCCTGTCTTGTTCTTGTTATAAGGTGACCACTGTCTCCCGTCCCAATTGTATGTCACCCTGCCATGTGTGCCCTTAATGGAAGCCACAGGCGCCCACACCAGCACATTATGCCCAGGCATGGTTCAGTGTTGTCACTATCAGAAAGCAGACCCAGAGCAATACTGTGCAGGCATTGGTGGAGCGATTGCATGTAGACAGGAAGTGGCTGAAGAAGGCCGGAGGATATCAGTGGCACCAACATACATAAAAGAATGAAAAAAGCTAAAAACAATACTTAAAAAAAGAAAAAAAGGCAATTGTTTATGGCAGTGTTTCTCAACCCTTTTGTAGTCACAGCACCCTTTAACAGCATCCAAAATCTCAAGGCACCCCTGTCTAAAATGTCATAGATATTAAGTGGGACCTCACTCAAAAAGTGGGTTTCCCCCTTCACGTCAAAGCGCCCCCCTAAA